GTAGCCCAGGCTGGCCTTGAACTCACAAAGATCTGCCTGCCTCTGCCTTCCAAGTGCTAGGATTAAAGGAGTGTACCACCAACACCCGGCTTTGTTATTGGTTTTTGTTTGGTGGTAGCTGCACAATCTTTTGTCATTAAATTTATCAAAAAGGTCATATGCTCTTACCAATATATGCTATTTTCCTTGTTTTCATTCCCATGAATAGAAAATCTTCCGTGCCATGTATGACTATATGGCTGCAGATGCAGATGAAGTGTCCTTCAAAGATGGAGATGCTATAGTGAATGCTCAGGCGATTGATGAAGGCTGGATGTATGGCACTGTGCAGAGGACCGGCAGGACCGGCATGCTCCCAGCCAATTACGTGGAAGCTGTTTAAGTACTTCAAGATCTCCATCAGTTTGCAGTGTCTGCATCTTGCAGGCAACATTTCAGGAGACTTCAGTGTGTCCATGCTCTCAACCTGCCTAATGTTTTCACCTATATCAATATCACTTAATGTATTACCATCTCTTCTGTAGAAACCTGAGTTATTCTCCATGAAACCAAACATTAATTCATCTGTTCAATTCTTAAGCTAGACTTAGATTCATTCTTTTCTAGATTTACACATGAAACTAAAGACAGTAAACATGTAAACGCTCATTTTGAAAATTACCACTATCAACTCTTCTTTCTGTTTCAAAGTAAGTTGAAATTCACAATAGAATTTTTAAAAGTTTCTGTAGTGCTATGTAACCAAGTCTTTCCTAATTATAAAAATGTTTCAACATTATTCTGGACATGCCAAGCAATAACAGAAAAACAGAAGAATCACTTTTCTCTTGTTTACTAAGTGCTAATGCTTGTGCTTCTAAACTTGTTTCTGTAAGTTATAAAGATGTCAACATAAACTGGAAACTAATAAAATCTACAGTTCTGCAACAAACTGCTCCTGGGCTAAACTCTGATATAAAGTCCGATTTGAAAAGTTACCTACATTTGGGGCTGCAGCAGTGGATTGGTGGCTAAGCAGCACTGGCTGAGCCAACTTTTGGGGTTGGTATTAATCCATACAATTTCAGCAAACTTCCCTTAAGAGCTCTTAAGACAGACCTGTGGGATGCAATATTAACTTGGGACTCCTGCTGCCTGAATGTAGCAGAATGACAATATGGGCAAACACTTGTTGTGAAGGAACAAGAGGTAGAAAGAACCAGTAATGACTACCTGACCACTTGTTTTGTTTACAAAACATCCTTCTGGAAGATTCAAAGACTGTCCCTATAACATGATAGCTACAGTAATACAGCTGTCGGAAGCAGGTTCTTTTAGTTGCTTTTTGTTTTTGGCAGTGCTAGAGATCAAATCATGGGTCTTGGGCGTGCTAAGCAAGTACCCCCTTTCCCCTCAAGTTTCTTAACATATGCATCAGAGACAAGGGGTTGAGTACTTCAGCACAAATCACACACTTGTGAACACATGACTACAAGCAACTTGGGAAGGAAAGGATTTATTTGGCTTATACACAATGGTGGTTTGAATAAGATGTTCCCAATAAAGCTTGGGCATTTGAACAGTCTGGCAGCTGTTGGTAAGGATTAGAACATGTTGTCTTATTGGAGGTGTGTCACTAGAGGCTGGCCTAAGGTTTCAAAGACCTCCCTCCATTCCCAGTGTGTGATGATATATTTGTAATCTAAGAAAGAAAGCTTGCCTGAAGATCAGAGGACAGAGCCCACCAAGGTCAGGCAGTGGTGGCACACACCTTTAATCCTAGCACTCAGGAGGCAGAGATCCATCATCTCTATAAATTTAAGGCCACACTGGGATACAGACTAATCTAGTCTAAAAAAAAGAGCTGAGCCAGGTAGTGGTGGCACACACCTTTAATCCCAGCACTGGGAAGGTTGAGACAGGAACTAACTCTTGCTGAGGCCCTTACAGGCTGAGGAGTTGATGAGGCTGTGGCTTGCTCTGCCTGCTTCTCTGATCTTTCAACTTTCACCCTGCTTTCTGGCTCTGGGTTTTTATTATAAGACCATTTAGGATTCGAGCAACACCAGTGCACTTTGCTTCCTGTTTATGGATCAGGATGTGAGTTCTCCATGCCTGCTTGCCACTATGTTCTCCACGATAATGGTGATGGACATCAATGCCTCTACAATTGTAAACTCCACTTAAGCCTCTTTAAGTTGCCTTGGTTATAATATTTTATCATAGCAACAGAAAAGTAACTGATACACATCAGTCCATCACTGAAGAAAACCAAGGGAGCAACTCAAGCAGAACTTGCAAGCAGGAACTGGAGCAGAGACCACCATGAAGAACTCTACTTATTGGCCCGCTCCTCATAGTTTGATCTGCCTGTCTTTCATGTGACTAGGGACCACGTGCCCAAGAGTGGTACCACCCAAAGTAGGCTGGGCCTCCCACCTCAATCATTAACCAAGAAAATGCCCCCCACTGACTTGCCTGCAGGCTAAACTGATATGAGTATTTTACCACTGTCCAAACTGGCACATAAATGAATGCAGTATTACACAACACCTTCTCTCACTATTTAATAACTACAGATTTAGAAGTCCATGGAACCCATAAAACAGAATAAACCAGAAACTTTATAAGGCAATCCTGAGAAATGGGGGAGGGGCAAGAGAGGATCATATTATCCTTACTCAGATCTCAAACCACAGATGTTAAAATCAAGAAACAAAAGTAAACACTAGAAATTAGTTTTTATACTTTTATTTTAAATAAAAGTACATTTTAATAACCAGTCTCAAATGGCAAAATATTACAGCCAACTCTCAATGACTCATGAGAAGTTTTACTATATGAAACAAAGACTCAACAGTAAGCAGGACTGCCTGCTACTTCCAAGACTGTGAATAACACCCCAACCTCACACAATAGTGCCCTTATTTCTCATCTGCTAGTGTAGTTAAAAATGGAATTAACAGGTATTCGTTAAATTTTAATTTAAAATTATAAAAACTCATCAAATATACTTCGAACGTAAAAGTGAACTTTCACCAAGGGCAGCAAAATATCAATGACTGGCTTGAATTCTGTTAGAGCTATCCACAGAAAGAGTGTTTACAATGGACTGAAAGCCACTGCTAACATACCAACACAGGAAGCAAGCTGCCAAATTGCACATTATTTCATAGGTAGAACTTAGTCTCACCTGCTCCTGCCTCGGACCAAAGTTCCCTGATAGCAGGGCAAGCACATGACATGCTTAATGGTTCAAAAACAGTGTACTCAGAACTCGAGAAGAGTATACTGAGGAACTAGCTGTTTCATAGCACATGTGTATACTATGAACAGCAGTAAAGCAATTGCAATCAGACCTTTAGAAATGAAAACTATTGTGGTTCAGAGAAAAGTTGTCCAACTGACCACATACCAAATATGAATAAAACTGTTCTCTGTAACAAGAAATGACAAACTCTTACATGAAGAGGCAAACATTGCCGGGCAGTGGGGGTGCACACCTTTAATCCCAGCACTCCAAGAGGAGGAGAAGGGCAGATCTCTGTGAATTCAAGGCCAGACTGGTCTACAGAATCTACAAAGGTGGGTTCAGAACAGCCAGGGCTGTTAAGAGAAACCATCTCGAAAAGCCAAAAAACCAGAAATAGGCAAATACTTGAGGACTGTATGTAGGCCTGTCTCATAAATTTAACAATTATCAAAATAGGAAAGCAGCCAAACACAGCCTGACTGCCACAACACAACTATTTCTGGATAAGATAGGATGTCCTATTTTTCATCTGCTTCAAAGTATTTTTGAAAAAAAAATTCTTCTCAATGATTTTAAAACAAAGAACAGGAAGTGGGGCTGGGAAGATGGCTCAGTGGCTAAGAGCACTGGCTGCTCTTCTAGAGGATCCAGGTTGGATTTCCAGCACCCACATGGCAGCTCAGAACCATCTAGAAGATCTGATGGCCCCTCTTCTGGCCTCTGTAGATACCACATGCAGATGGTGCACAGACATGAATGCAGGCAAAACACCAACATACAAAAATAGTTCAAAACAAAACAAAAACTGGAGGTAAGACAGTTTGCTCTGTGCTATGACTAGAATACCCTGCTGTACTTTGGTTCCTATCAATTCGTTTCTTAGAAAATCCTTAGTCTATAAAGAAAATGTTTTAGACTTATTCAATTATTCGCAGAGGTAATTTTAACGATCTATTTGTTTCATGACATTATATTGAACATCCTAGGTATGTATCTTTGAAGAACCAAGGCTTCCTTTTAGCCAGACATTTACAGCTGGGAGTGTAGGCAAAGTAGTGAATGAATGTTCTGTTAACATTTGTTGAAAACAGGGTCTTTTGTGTCCTTGAACTCTCGCTCCTCCCATCTCTTCCTTCCAAGGCTAAAATTATAGACACAAGCCACAATACCCTCTTGATTATGTATTTTAAAATAGTCACTCATGTTACTCCTGCAAACCAACTCCAGTACTGTTTTAATGAAAAGCTCTCAGGAACCAATGGCTATTTTCAAAATACAGGAGGACTGTTTGTCCTTACACGAAATGGCTTTAACATCAAACTTTTGGCTGAGTATGATACACAGTTAAAGCCTATACTGAGAAGTCGGAGGCCAGTGTGGTCTACCCAAGGAGCCAAGTGTACAACAAAACACTGTCTCAAATGGTCTTTTGGTTGAGGTTAGAGGATTGCCCTGAGTTTGAGGCCAGCCCTGGCACTTAAGTAAAACTATCTCAAAAACAAATTCACCTGTTTTCCTCTCCTCACTGCATCACTTCCTGTGCATTAATAAGCATATATTTGATGTTTAAAAGTTGGTTTTATACTCAATTGTAAACCAGCAAAGACAACATTTCTTCTGCTACAACCGAAGCATAAAAGTTACACGGGAGAGGTTGTTCTTTTTGACATCAGCAGTTTAAAACGTTGCCTGGATTTTCAAATCACATTAAGGGCTCATATTTTATACCACTGGTACTTTCCAGGAATGTAAACATCTACAACACAGGTTATGTCAGCATTTAATTGAAGGTTTTAGTATATAAAGAAAAAAATGTAACAAAATTGTACCATTTCCCATCTATTCCAAGAACTTAGATTCTGTAGGAGCACTTTAACAAAATAACTACAGATCTGAAATTTGTAAGACATAGACTTTAATGGATGCTTCCAAAGAGCAAATATAAAGCCAGGAACATAACAGAACCATTAACTGAGTGATCAGAAACTGCAAAATGAATTAACATGCCTATAATCAAAACATTTGGGAGGCTGAAGCAAGTGTTGCTATGGGTTTGAGACTAATTGGTCTACACAGTGAGTTCCAGGCCAGCCTAAATTAGTTACGATAATAAATGCAGGCTTCTGCCCCCAACCAAGTGTCACCCCCATAATGCCCACAATTGCAGTTCTATAGCCTGCTGACGTGGCTGACCAACTGGCTGAAGTCAACCTTAATAATGAAATGAACCCCGAGCCTTAGTCAAAGCTGAAAGCAAGGCCAATAAGGGGCAGTGTTATCTAATAACTTCCATTGACTTCAGAACCAGCACTTTATTTTCAAATTTTTACCTTAAACCAAACAAAACCCTCCAATTAATATTTATAAAACATAATCTTGAATTATATATTTTAAGACCCTAAAATATATAAAACAGGTTCTTGTTCTGTACACTAGGTTGGACTTAGCACAAAGCAATTATCTGCCTCAGCCTCCCAAGTATTCCAATTACAGGCACAAGCCACCACGTCCAGTGTCCAACTATTAACATTTTAAATTAGTGACATTCTAATGACCCTTAAATATGTAAGTGGATTCTTAGCTACTTTCAAATTGTACTGAAAAAAACAAGAATCCAAAGGCAATGTCTGTCATTCAACAACTGTGCTTTTAATCTTTAGATTTAAATTCTATTTAAAAACTGTATTAACCTGATTAAGTGAGCTCATTGCTCACTATTTGAAATGCAAAGACCCTGCAGTATTCAGCAGTAGTTTAACTTGCTGAAACAGAGCAACATCTTCAGTAATAAGCTCAGTTTGAACATCAAAATCCACTATGTTCAGACATGAAAAATTAGATGCTTTTCATACCACTAGATTCTTTTAAAAAATTAAGATGGTTCAGCAGTTAACAACAGCATTTGCTGCCCTTTCAGAAGACATGGGTTTGATTCCACAGGCTAGCTCACACCTGTCTATAATTCTGGTTTTCCCAGGGATCAGATGCCTTCTTCTGGCTGTCATGGGCACCAGGTATGTACATAGTACACATATACACATGCAGGCAAAACACTTATGCACAGGAAATAAGAACAAAATTTTTAAATTAATTTTATTTGTGTGTGTGCACTGCACATATAGAGGCCAAAGGACTACTCTCCTACCATGCGGATCTCAGGGACTGAACTCAAGTCATAATCAGATTTCGTGGAAAGCACATTGTATCTTCTGGGCCACCTAGCCAGCTCTTGATTTGTTTCAATACATATAACAATTAGGGCATCACACTGGAATGTCAATATTTGTTTGTTTTTTTAATTAAGCATTAGAAAAAGTCTGAAGAAGGGGTTTCATGTAAAAGTAAAGCAATACATTGGAGTCAACTGAGAAATATTAATGCTTTTTGCTATTTTAGGAATTAATGTGGAAATCTGCTCAAAAAAAGTTAAGCCAAGAATACTGAAAGTAAACTGACCCAACTTTATATTTTCCATAAACTGACCAATGGTACCAACCAATATTTTAAAACACAATTTCCTTGAACTACAACTCAGATCTGCGCTTTTATTAAATTCAGAAATTTAAGCAAATCATTTTGGTCACATTTCCTGCTACACTTTGAGCTCCCTAAGAACTCTGCTGTGCCTACGAGTGAGTAGACAAGGGTTAAGGAATGTAGTTTGTGAAATGAGCACTCCAACCACTCCCCACAAACTCCTGGCTAATCGATACTACTCACTGAATGTTGATGCACACCTCTTAATGCTTAATGTATCGACTGACAATGCAATCCACCATTATCAATGTTTTTAAAAGACAGTCTTTTCCTCATTAGTTATTGACTTCTAAGTCCTTAAAAGTCCAACAGTTCCAGAATTCTTAAGATGATCTTTGTAGGTAAATATACTTAGATCTAAAAATATCTGTAGTTACTTATGAATGAAAAATGATACTAACTTTATTTACCAGGGGCAGCAGGGGAGGGAGGGGTGTCTCTGTTGGAAAAAAAAAAAAAAAAAAAAGGTCCAGACCTTAAACTACAAACAGTTCGAATGTCTAAGCAGAGATTGAACTGAATTTGAACTAAGATCACCCATTGATTTTATTCAAAAAAACAAGCAAGATATATCCTTTGGAAAACATACAACACAGCCAGGCATGGTAACAAACACCTGTAATCCCAGAACTCTGGAAGGCAGAGGCAGGAGGATCATAGAAGTTCAAGGCTAGCCTGGGCTACACAGAGAGACCACATCTCCAAAAAACAAACAAACAAACAAACAAAAACAAAAAACAAAAACCCACAACCCACAGGTGCAACAAATATATGAAGTTAGGCACTAACTATCTGGTAAAATTTACAAACTGTTTAGTTATATATCCTATTTTTTTTTTAACTAGACAAAACATACATATAAAAAGGGCAGTTTCAAATTTCTTCCAAGTTTAGTTTTCAACATATGTGATTAAACCAGGTATCTCTATGTCTTATAGTACAATCTGCAATGAAAATATCCAGGCTAACTCTCCATTAAGAAGAAACATAGGCACGTTTTCTAGTGGCTTGGGATCCTCTTCCAAAACCAAAAGAAAAAAAAAAAAAAAAAAAAAAGTAGTGGCATGTAATATTTTTTGGTTCTAATAATTTTAATTATTCTGGACACTTTAGAAAATAAACTCATGTTTTAACTAAATACAAAACTATCTGTTGCTTTATTTGTAGATACAGACTCCTACAAATATCCACAGTACGTCATGAAGCATTTTTAATATCCATATGGATATTTTGATATTAAATATATACAAAAGTTTCTATTAAACAAAACAATGGTATTCACATGAAGCTGCAGAAACTCGTGCAATTAACGAAGGCTGAACTTTATAAATTAAAAAACACTGTCTTTTATACATAATGTACAAAGTCATGCATGTAAGAGTGAACACTATACCTTATAAGAGCACATTTTCACAGGCAAATGCTGCTGCACAAATATTTGCCAATGCCAAATGAATGGAATGTTAGCAATTAAGCGTTAATTTTAACTCACAACAAATTGAAAATTGGTATTTCTCTCAAAGGTTTTCTACAGGTGTTATATGAAAGAAATGCTCTCATTCTTTTGCATCTCAGTACAGGTGTTTCACCAAGCACAACAAATATAAATATTTTTGAAAAAGTATAAACACCTTTATCAGTTCAAGTGTAAATAAAACTTTTCTATCTTACTTAAAATATTTGTATGAGCTACACCAAAATATGCATGAGCTAATGTATGAAAAAAAAAAGTATGTATATCTTGTTTGCTTTCAAGTTTCAGTAACATTTAAATTTCTTTTAAAAAAAAAACTATGTATACTGGCCAAGAAAATACAGTAGGGAATATCTTTACTAATGAATTTATAAAACTGACCTAATAATTCATTGTCTTTCAGGATTTGATATCTTATCAACTCTGCAAAGTTTCCTCTTTAAATGGTGCAGGTATTTCTAAAAGCCAAAAAATAAAATCTGGTGGTGAAAAAACTTTCCATTTTCTTAAAATACTAAGAATTTTCATGGACTGGTGATCTCCAACGTGACTGTAGATTTCTTATTATAGAGTTTGCCATGGTACCAAGTTTCTCATGCATTTCAAATAGCTGGCTTCCAGAGTAACTGTACAGATCTTCTGAATCCAGTTGAAGAGCAAGAGCACTAATTTGTGCCACAAGATTTTTAGACAATGGGGTATCCACGGTTACAGGATCAATCAAATCTAGGAGAAAAACAAAACGCCACATTAAATCGCCACCAATTTTTAAAAAATAATTTGTATGTATCTCCAATCAAAATGAAAAGGAGAGAAAATAGGCTAAGGTACACTTGCTCAAGAAAATGCCAGAAAAAAAAATCTACCACATCTTATTATTCTGTATATGATATAACTGAACAAAATTTCAACATCCTTATCTACATCTTGATGGACTAGAAAACTGACACAATAATTAGAGAAAACCAACTAGACACACTAAAATTAAATAGGTTTTCCCCCCACGTACTTAGAATGGGGGATAAGGCACAATTTGGTGAATTAACAGTCATAGTCAAAGTAAAACAAAGTATTGGGCTGAAGAGATGTCTCAGAGCTTAAAAACTTGTTCTTCCAGAAGACCAGGATTCTTCCCGCATCCACATGGCAAATTACAATTGTCTCTAATTCTAGTTCCAGGGGATCCAAAGCATATAAATACATGCAAGGCAAAAATGTGTATATTCTAAAAATAAACATTAAAATTTTTCTTAACTGTAAAAGTGTGAAGTAAGTTAAGTTTTTTTCAAGAAAGTTTGTCTTCCAAAAACACCTATCATGCTTGGCTAGCATACCTGAGGCAAGCTTTTCTTCATCAGCTGAGAGGGGCTTGCTTTCTACTCCATTTACTGCCTTCTCAGAAATATCAAAAACTGGAATCTCTTCAAGTCCACGAGATTTCATCTTGATTATAAATTTACAAACAGTAACAAAGAGAAATAACAAAACTTATTTTTAACTGGAATGACACGAAATGCCCACAGTCTATATAATCAACTCAGTTAATACTGTTTAAAAAAAACCACTACTACTAACTACACAAAAATAGTATCACAGTAGGTATGGTGGAGCAATTCTGTCATCCCAGCACTCTGGAAACAAATGCAGGTGGATCGGTAAGTTAAGAGGCTAACCAGGGATATACAGTGAGCCTTGACCCAAAGTGTTTCCTCAAAGAGCATAAAAATTTATAATACATAATTTCTTAGGAAACATAGTAACAGTAGCTGATAAACTTAATTACCCAAGTTCTGAAATGTAGAAAAGGCTACTCTTAGCACAATGGTTATCTTTTATTTTCAAAGCTACAAACAGCTCACTGGCAGAGCACTGTCCAGCATGAATGAGGTCCTGGTCAAGGGCCAAATCCAGAATAAACTCATAAGGTATTCCCAGGTTTCATGGACCACTGCTCACAGAAATTACTGTTTAAAAAGTTGTCATAACAACAATCCCATTCAATGGCACAAACAAAACAAAAACTGTCACATAAAAACTGTAGAAGGGCTGGGCGGCAGTGGCACATGCCTTTAATCCCAGCACTCGGGAGGCAGAGCCAGGCCGATCTCTGTGAGTTCGAGGCCATCCTGGTCTACAAAGCGAGTTCCAGGAAAGGCTAAGAAAACCAAAGGAGAAAAGCAAACCATAAGCTCATCAGTTGAGTAATAGATTTAAAAAAAAATGTGGTATATCCATGGAATACTGTTCAGCCATAGAGTTAGATCCTAACATATTAGTAATAATTATAAAACTAGAAACCTAAGTTTAAACAAAGAAGTTAATTAACAACCATAGCTTGTGGTGTTCCAATATTTAAGTATGTCCAGAGTAGGTAAGCCTATAGAAAAAGCATATGCTGTGGGTGCCTAGGAACAAGGGATGGAAACGAAGCATGACAGATAATACGTTCACTCCCTTCTGACCTCTATAGGGTTCTGCAGGCACGTGGCACATATGGGCACATGCCCACATACACATACACACAAATTAAAAAAAAAAAAAAAAAAACTTTTGGAAAGAGAAAATATTTCAAAAATTCTACCTGTGAGACTGCAAATTAATAGTATAGATTCTGGGTTTTGGTTGCTTTTATACAATTAACATGTCAACAAAATGTTCTCCAGTATCAGAAATTTAAAAAAAATAAAAAATCAAGTAGTTTCAAGAATACAGTACACATAGAACACACCCCAAAGAGGTAGTAAACCACACTTTAAGGAAACCTAATAGACAGTGGTTTTTACCCTTAAATAGTCTAGTTTTAATTTATCCACAATTCTAATACTATCAATGAATAAGTCACGACCCCTCATATTACGTATAAATACTTTCTGCCAAGTAAAATTCTCGTGGGGGGTGGGGGTGGGGGTTAGAATCTAAAATCTGTCCTAAGCTATATATATACATTTAAAAAAAATGTATAAATCTGCAATAGTCTTAGACACGTTTAGATTTGAGAACCTAGGTTTCAGGAATACCTAAATAGCCATGAAACAACCAGCTGGTAGCAATGAAAAAGGAGAAAAGATAACAGATTTCGAAAAATAAAATTTAAAAGTGAATCTAGGGTATAGTACATAAAAACAGAACTAAGTAAAGGAACAAACTTCCCAGTGAGATACAGAAGGGGTTTTAAACAAGTCTAAATGCAAGCTTTTATTACTGTTGGTAGAGCACTTGTTGCTGGTTTTTGCCCCCCTTTCTTTTTTTAAGGCAAGGTCTTGCTTATGAAGTGTCGATCCAAATGTCTCTACTTCCTAAATACTGAGATTAGAGAGGCATGACACCACTCCCAGCTGGATCACTTATTAAAATACGACTCTTGGGCTGGAGAGATAGCTCAGCAGTTAAGAGCACTGGCTGCTTTTCCCGAGAACCTGGGTTTGTTTCTCAGCACCCACAGGGCTGCTCACAAACATCTAAACATCTGTAACTCCAGTTGTTCCAAGGGATCTGATGCCCTCTTCTGGCTTCTATAAGCACTGCACACATATGGTACATAGATAGACACTCAGACAAAACATTCAAATAAAAAGATTTTACCTGTTGCTCATGGTACACTCTGAGAGCCTTTTTTACATTAAACACCTTTGGAGAGCGAATAGGAAGAGTTTTTATTTCTGATGCTGTAAGAGTACTCAAATCACCAATTGTCTTTATGTTCTTGGCTCTGATAAGTTGTCCTAGACCTCTTGCCCTTTTGAAGAGAAGAGAGAAAACATAATTATGCTTTTATTGCTAACTAACCATCCGTGAGCACTTATCCACTTCAACTCAAAAGAGTATTTATATAGTCTACCTAGCCCACACAATGTGATGGGCAACTATCTGGGGAACTTAAAATTTGAATCCTATGTGTCCCTAGCTTAAGAAATCATGGAAATCTAGAATTCTATTTTCTACACTTTAGTAACAGCATAGATGTTGCATTTATACAAAGACAGGCACAACAGGGATGGGAAACTCATTTTCGCATCAAGCTTTCTTTCTGTCTATGGCTCAGGTCCTCCTCTTTTTTTTTTTTTTAAAAAAAAAAAAAACCTATCCTATCCTAGACCCTTTTTAATATGACTTCCTTCTAACTTCTATGTGCATGTCTGACACAATTCTTAAGAGGAATATAGAGAATGTATTACTAGGGAATTATGCCATGGTTCATCAAGCTATTAATTAAAGAAATTATCTCGTTTCACAAGCATGTTATGTGCAACAATTCTCTTAAGATTTGGCAGTCTGAGGATGGAGAGAGCGCTCAGTGGTTAAGAGTACTTGTTGCACTTCCACAGGACCCATATTCAATTTCCATTACCCATGTAGCAGCTTACTGGACTGAATCTAGTTCCAAGGGATGGAATACCCTCTTCAAGCCTCTAGGGGTACCAGGATCACATAGTGTACAGACATACATGCAGGCAAAACACTCATATACATAAATTCAAAAATACATAAATTACATTTCTAAGATTTATAACAAGATTTAATTGAAGCACAAAGAAAAGACCCTCAATGAGGTCTCTCTATGTGAATCTACATGACAATTTATTTAAGCTATGCAATTTCCATGAACTAATAATCTTCCCAGGATTCTACTTTACTTCTATTCCTCAGAGGGTTTGCAATAGGACAAAACAAGATATAAATTTAAAAAGATGCAAACACCTGAAAAGCTTGACCATTACAACATCCTCCTAAGCCAGGCCTGGTAATTCAACCCCGAAATACCAGTTAGTGTGGATAAAGGGGTCAAGAGGATCCAAAATTCAAGGACACTGAGACACAGAACCCATGTGTGAAGCATGGAGTTCCTACAGGTCAAGCTTATTTTTGTGTCCCTCCACATTGTAAGTCTTGGAAATTTAATCCTTCACGTCAACAATCCACAGGGTGACAAACAGCTCTGGCTGACCTCATCTTGCTGTGTAGCAGAAGATGCCCTTGAGCCGGTCCTTAAGGATCACACACACAGCTCAGATCACCTCAAGCTCACTGCGTATGCAAGAATGCGCTTGAACTGGCCCTAAAGTTCCTGCACCAGCACTTCTGGCTTATATAGTACTGAGGACAGACCCTGTATTTTCATTAATGCTAAGCAAGCACTCTACCAATGGACATTCGACCCTAACCCCTATTACTCCCATCATTACTCCAGAAAACTAAAACTTCAACTTAAGCAGGCCATGACTGGTGAGCCCCCAGCCTCAGATTTCTTAGGAGCTGGATACCCTCCTCAAAACTGGGGAATGTTAGCAAAACTATGCCACAAAATAAAGTTGAAATACAAACAAAATCCCCGCACCTCAGAGTATGAATTATGATTATAACTTAACCACTTACCACATGTTTGATGTAATTTGAGGTAAAATGATGTCGACTGATGCTGCACAGTTTACCAAAGCTGGGTAAACACTCTCTGTTGTTGGGGATAGCATGGATTCTTTGGCCATTTCTGCAATCTTAAAATAAATTTCAAAAGCCATTAAGTAGAGGTTGCAGAACTGAACATTAAAGTATAAAGTTACATAAAAACTAAAGCACTTCTTACTAAACACTTCTTTGAGCTCTTAAACTTAGAGCTCTGTGATCCTGGGGACAGAAATCCTTTGGCTGAAGTGGTATTATGCTAGATAGAAGAAAGTGGAGAAAAAAAACAAAACAAAACTCAGAACCCCAGACAACTACAATGTTACAATTTAAATTGTACAACTAAAATTGTGCTCACCTCTGTAAAATTTTAGGAAATGAAAATGGAACAGGATAAATTAATGATTTACCTGTGGGATAGCTGATTGGCCTTAGCCCTCTCTATGAAAAGCAATACATTTGCAAAAGAAGCCTGTTCCTTAATCTTCAAATATTTTAAAGTATATTTTAAAGTCCATAGCTTACCTTAGAGTGTGAAGTAGGTGAAGTTTTAACACTTTTTATTATGGGAGAGCTATTTGAAGAATGTGACCTAACAACTGAGCAGCGCCTATCAATGTCATCTGCCAATCCTGCTTGGTATATTGGGTCTGCAAACGAGACACGTCTAACCTGAAAGTACAGGACAAGTTTTCATTAAGAAGACAATACCCTACCTAATGTGTTGACTTTGTGCAAAAGCAAGACAGTGTTCCCAAACTTATTTCACTAGCAGCCTCCTGCACAGTTGTTCCATCTTTCAGCTACTGCTTAATACTGCAGCTCATTCAAATTATACCCTCCAGTATCTCTGCAGTAATAGAAACTTTAAACAAACTTTTAAGTTAACAATAATCAATATGCAGAGTGTGATGTATAATCCCAGCACGCAGGAGGCAAAGGCAGGTAGATTTCTTGAGTCTGAGGTCAACCTTGTCTACCTGTGAGAGCCTGTCTAAAAAACAAAATATAGGAATAGTGTGGGTACTCATGTAATCCCAGTAATCATGAGACTGAGGCAGGAGATCTCCAAATTGAAGCTTGTCTGGGGCTACATAGTGAGACCTCTGCCTCAAAAACCCAAAATAAGGGCTAAAGAGACAGATTAGTGGTTAAAAGTACTAGCTGCATAATCATGACAACTAGAGTTGAAATCCTAGCACCAACATTAACAAGTCAGTTTTACAAAAGCCTGTAACTCCAGCTTCACCCTCTTCTGGCCTAACCAGGAGCACTGGCTTGTGCATCCACTAACATACACATGTTGTGGAATATTCCTTTACACTGCATGAAGAGGTGCCACTGTGATTGGTTTAATAAAAAGCTAAATGGCCAATAGCTAGCCAGGAGGTATAGGCGGGACTTCTGGACAAGGAGAGCTCTAGGAAGAAGAAAGGAGAGTTACCAGTCAGACGCAGAATAATCAGGATGAGTGTAATGGAGATGAGGTAATGAGCACATGGAAGAACAGATTTAAAAATATGGATTGCCGGGCGGTGGTGGCACACGCCTTTAATCCCAGCACTTGGGAGGCAGAGGCAGGTGGATCTCTGTGAGTTCGAGGCCATCCTGGGCTACCAAGTGAGTTCCAGGAAAAGCGCAAAGCTACACAGAGAAACCCTGTCTTGAAAAACCAAAAAAAAAAAAAAAAGGATTAATCTAAGTTTTGAAACAAGCCTAAGCTAAGGCCAAGCTTTCATTAATAAGCCTCCATGATGTTATCTTTTGTGAGCTGACAGCCCAAAAAGAAGTCAGTCTGAGTGTGTGCACATGTAGCACACACATACACACCAATAAAAATAAAATTAGTAAGAATCTTGTATAATTTGATTTTGGTTAGCCAATGGGTTTATATAGACTATAGACAATAATACTGGTTTCTGGTATATTTTATTAATCATTGTCCTAAATTTGTGAGTGTGTGCGTGCGCACGCGCACGCGCGCGCGCACGTGTACGTGTACAGACATGTGTGCATGTGGAAGTCAAAGGACAACTTTGAAGGGAAGGGGGTTGTTCCTCAGGTGTTGTACAACTTGTTTTTGTGAAATGGCGTGTCTCATTGGCCTGGAAATCCCTGAACAGACTAAGCTTTCTGAGCCCCAGACCCCAGGGATATGCTTGTCTCTATCTCCCCAACACTGGAACTCTTAGCACATGCCACCAAGCCCAGGCCTTTCATCTTAAGTGTGGGCTCTGGGAACTGAACGGAGGTCCTCATGCTTGCTTTGTGAGCACTTTACCAACTATGCTACTTTCCCGGCCCCTGCTCTTAAACTCTTTGAAGGCAACAAAAGTATCAGGGCCATAATGTAGCAATTTTAACTATTTTAACCTCACTGTGGCTAATTTGGCTTCTTCTAAAGGTCTATAATATGTCCACATTGCGTAATTAACTATAAATATATAGCAGAGATATGATTCTATATCACCTAGGATTGATTTTCAAGAATAGGCAACATATAAGTATTTGCCATAAAAATGTTTATCCTGTTTTGTCTTAGACAATACATCTGCCCTGAGTGGTATATAATAAAATTTTAATCCCAGCACTCAGGAGGCAGAGGCAGAAGGATCTCTCAAGTTCCAGGATAGCCAGGACTACATCGAGACCCTGTCTCAAAAAAGCCCAAAACAAGACACATGATCTAACAGTGCCAATAGTAAGTTAAACCATCTGAAGAATTCTGCAGCAAATCATAAATTCCAAGTATGTCTCATCTTGTTACTACCTCACTACTCTTTGTAGTCCATAAAAAACAGAAATAGAAGAAAGGCTACAAAAGATGTGAACTCCAGGCTGGCCAGGGCTGCATAGCCCTTTGTCCAAAAACAAAAAGAAAAAAAAATTAAGAATTCCTATCTTCCTAAATGATTTCATCTCTTAAATTTCAGAAGCAGTTCTTCCCCACCGGAGCTGAGGACCAACCCCTCAGAAGCAGTTTTCAATGCATCTTCCCAGGTGGTCAAACTAGGGCTCGAGGGAGGACTCAAACAGTTAAGAGTTCACCCTGCAGCTAGGCCGTGGCACAAGCCTTTAATCCCAGCACTCAGAAGGCACAGGCAGGTGGATCTGAGTTCAAGGCCAGCCTGGTCTATAAAGTGAGTTCCAGAATAGCCAGGACTACACAAAGTTTTTTGATAAACTTAAAAAAAAAAAAATGATGAAAAGCAATCACTATCCTTCCAAGGTCCCAGCACCCACATCAAGCAGCTTACAACTCCCCATAACTCAATGCCTCTGGTTTTTATAGGCACCTGCATACCTGTGCACACACCCTAATACATATATATAACTACAAGTGTAAAAATAAATCTTAAAAAAAAAATGTACTTGCCAGCCAATCACAAGACTATAATGCTACAAGACTATAACCCTAGCTAGCTGAGGCATGACAGACAGTTCACTGTAGGGTCAGCCTGGGCAACATAGAAAGGTTCTCATACCCAAGAAAAGGTAAAAGTAAATGCATCCTTGCTGAAGGCAAAGATCAAAGCACTGTGTTTATATACATACATATGTATATACATTGTACAATATCAGATCTAATTTCAAAATTAAGTTGTGAAGATCAACATGACATCTTTTTAGAACAGGTTTCACTAAGCTGAGGGCATGTTTTATGTTAAGCAGAGGGTTGTATCTTTCTTAACTATTCATTCAACACACTCTAAGAGAAAGGCCCAAGAAAGAGCTAAAGTAAAAATTACCTTGATAATCCAATTTTTATGAAACTTCATGAAAGCCTGGGAATCTCTCAGTGACAGAGTGTGTGCCATGTGCCAAACATATTCAATGCTGTGCACTGGCTCTCCTCCCAATATCCAAAATGAACAAAATGAAAAGGGACAGGGGAGAAGCCAGTTGGCAGCATGCTCCTCAGTTAACCCTAGCACTCAAAAAACTAAGGACCAGGGGAGGTAGCTCAGTGGTAAAGTATATATATGGGGCCCAGGAGTCAGTGTCTTTAACTGGATGGATTAGAGTGACCTAAGGCATCATGTCCAAGAACTTATAGCCTGAATGGCTAGTGCTGCATGGCTTCTTAAATCTGGTTCCACATATTGTATTACAGAAGAAAGGTCCTAATAGGACCCACCCATTATGCCCACATCAAGTTCTTGAGTGTGAGAGGCAATACTACATGAAAGGCCTCCTGTCCTTCTCAGAGCAACCATGACAAATGACCCTAATTCCCTATCCTTTACTAGGTTTCACCCATATTCCAAGCAAACATTAGATTCATTAGTCATCATCATTCCTACCTTGTTAACTGGTGATGAGATCTCATCTTCGTGGGCTCTTTTAAGTCCTCTCTTTAAAATGCTTGTGGATGGAGAAGCCAAGGGTGACCAGACACAGCGTGCTTGCATACCGCTAGGACTTTCATTTGCTGATCCAAGTGAAGGGTCCAGCTCTCTTAATTTTTCAGGAGAAGCATTACTGCTTTCTGCTACCAGTTCAGAAGTCACTTCAGATGTCAGAGACTGTGGTAATTCCTCCACTTTCTCTGAAGTGAGGCATACTTCCTGCAGAACATTATTATCCACTACATTTTGGTTGTCACTCAATTTTGTCTCATCCAATTTAAGTTCAATGTTTGTTTCAGTTTTGTAACAAACAGTTCCTTCTTCAGAACTCATTTCAAGTGTGTCGCAAACAAAGCTCTCAGTTTTGACTCCTCGTCTTCCACCTGGAGTTTCCTCAGACACAGAGGTGCTAACAATCATGCCCCTATCCTCTTCTCCAGTGTCGCCAACTTCCATTTTCAACTGGGCTACCACTGCTGCTTTGGAACTTTCTGTTTCTGTGTTCATTTCCTCACAGGAGCCGCAATCAGATTGAACACCATGCTCCAGGTCCACTCTTGTGGAATCAGATTGAACACCATGCTCCAGGTCCACTCTTGTGGAATCAGATTGAACACCATCCTCTAGGTCTGCTCTTGTGGAACCAGACTGAACACCATCCTCTAGGTCCGCTCTTGCGCAACCAGATTGAACACCATCCTCTAGGTCCGCTTTTGTGGAATCAGATTGAACACCAATCTCCGGATCCGCTCTTGTGGAATCAGATTGAACACCATCCTCCAGATCCGCTCTTGTGGAATCAGATTGAACACCATCCTCCAGGTCTGCTCTTGTGGAACCAGACTGAACACCATCCTCCAGGTCTGCTCTTGCGGAATCAAACTGAACACCATCCTCCAGGTCCACTCTTGCTGAATGCTCACTCTCGACACTCTTGCTTACAGGTGTGGCATGATCACAGAGACTCAGAGCAGAATTAAAGCCCTCGGTGGCTGCTCCTTCAGCATTCACTTCAGCTGTGACTGCTTCAAATTCATCCTTTTTATTATCTTCCTCTGCTGCCACATCTACAGGAATATCCATGTGGGCACTCTTTTCAGAGAAGGCAGCTCCAAGCGAGTCATTTCCTCCATCTAATTCCATAGCTTCACCGCCCTCTGAGCTGGATCCGGTTATGACTTTGCATGCCTTCCCAACATCGCCAATGTCAGATTCTCTTTTCAGAACAGCGTCTGGACTTTCTACTTTGTTATCTAAAGAAGATATCTGTGAAATGTCCTTGGAATCACATAAGCATGGGTCTTCGGCAGTGAATTTTTCATTGCTTGGTTCTTGGATTTCAGATACTATTTCACTAGAGTCTGTATCATGAGATTTTTCTTTCGTATTTCCTATTTCAGATGGGACTTTTTTTCGATCTTCTGCCAATCCAGTTTCAGACTTAACTAAGTCACCAGCAGCACCATTCTCTTCAAGACCCACATGAAAATTCATACTAGGATGTTCATCTGCCAGCTTTGTTTTGGCGTGTTCATTAGCTTCACAAGTTGCAGGTGTAGCCTCAGGTGCTTGCATCTGGGTTGTCTTTGTCTCCATGCTCTTTATAGCAAAACTCTCTGTGTTCTTTAACCCAGTAAATGACTTTTCCTGGGATTGTGATTTTTCCCCACAGCAGTCACAACTCTTTGATCTCCTGACTCTCCTGCTTCTCTTGTGTTGGCATTCAACTGCTTGGGCCCATTTCTCAGAAGGTACAGAAATGTCTGCTGTCTCCATTTTGGAGCATTCTCCCAAACTACTATCAGTATCTCTTTTATATAACCTCTTAGTGGCATTCCTAGTCCTGAGATTGGATTCAGGCACAGGTGGACTTGCAAATGAGTTATCTACACATTTGCTAGTCTTACTTGTGTCCTCACCTGCAACTGGTGTATCAGTAACTTGCAGTGAATCTGAAGACCCAGCAGACTCCTGAAGGATTACCCTATTGGCACTTTCTTCACAAATCTGAGCCACTGCATCTACATGAGCTTCAGGAACTGCCTGACCATCATGTATCTCATGTGCAGTTTTTATACATTCCTCTTCCACCATTTTGTCTTCTTGTTCTTCAATGTCAACACTATCACTGCTTTTATTTTTCCATTTCCCAGATCGTTTCTTTCTGGAAACTTCTTCCTTTGACTCAGAACTATCAGGTTCTGATAGTTCTGATAGTAATCCCTGAGATGCTCTTCTTGTTTGGTAACGTGTACGTCCTCTCAAAGGTTTCTCAGATGACTTATCTACATTGTCCTGGGTACTACCTCCCTCAGAATTAATGTTCTCATGGTCTGGTTTTCTTTTATTTTGGTCAATTTCAGCATTAGCACTGGATTCCTCTAAAGTTTTCTCATGTAAACTATTTCCTTTTTCGGTTACATTTTCCTGCAGAGATGACTCAGCACTTAGTTTTTGCTTGGGCAACTTGTCATCTTTTATATGCAATGGACTCTTTGCAACTGTTTTTTCTTCTTCCTTCCGTCTTTCCTTTTTTGGTTGACCATTATCCTTATCTTGGCTGTCATTGGAAGACTCCACCATTTCTGGACGTCGCCTTGAAGACCGTCTGAGGATTTTTGGATTTGGAGCTACTACAGATTGACTTTCTTCATTTACTATTTGATCTGCTGGTGCTGTGACCGGAGGTGTATTTTCTTTAGATTCCGTATTAATGCTTACGTTTTTCTCTTCTGTAGCTGAGTCTTCCAATGAAGCATTTTCTACTGTTGGTTTAGGATTTTTATCTTCATGCTCTAGGGTAGCTCCAGAAGGATGATCATGCTTTGACAGACATTCTGTTTGACTGAGCAAATCAGGAGGGTTATTTTCTAATGCATGTTCCTCCTGTTCAGATCTCAGTGAAGGCTTAGACTTTTTATTAGTTGACTGCTCAACTTTACTCCATCTCCGTCCTGACTTTTTACCTCCGTTCACTAGTTTTTCTGAGTCAGATTTTGAGTGAGTCACTTCTCTTTTTCTTGCTTTTGGTAGCATATCAGTTTTAGCTGTGTTTTCCTGGTTATTTCTCACTGTAACAGTGGATGACATGCTATTCAAAGGGGATGGGCTAAAAGGTCTATTTTCTGAACCATCATATTTCTCCAAAGTAATAAAGGTTTGTCTCCGACTTGTAGGCTGTGAAGGAGTTCCAGAAACAGTGGCATTAGAAACCGAACTATTGCTGACCACCAGTGAAGTTTCTGTACCAGATGAATATTCAGCTGACATTATCTTTGATGAAATTAGCATGTTTTTTGTAGCATCAATACCAGCGCTCAGTGTTTCTGAATTGGTTTCAGCAACAGAACCAGAGTCATTTGGTAAAGAAGCCTTTCCAGGATGTTCATCCACACCACAGTTTTCCATGGCATCTTGAGAGATGAAAATGGCACTCTCCATTTGTTCCTCCTACACAAAACATGCAAATTACAGAGTAAAACATTATTTTGCTAGGAAATCTAAAAATAATAATGTGGTAATCAAGATAAACTCTGGTAATTCAAGACACCAACTTTCAAATTATTGCACATATTCCAAAAGGATCAGCAATGAACTGTCAATGTGCTTTAAACTGATGGTGTTCAGTTAAAGCCATACCTGAGGCCAAGACTGGTGGGAGGCAGAAGCAGGAGACTAAGAGGAAGCACAGCTCCTCAGGAGATCGAGGCCATCCTGAACTAAAACACTATCTTAATCCCTTACTTCAGAAGTCATTTACGATGTATTTTAAATACACATTTATGTACAATTCAGTTAGAAGATTGTTATACATCTTAGTAATAAACAAATATAAAACAACCTTACAAATTACATTTACTATAACTTAAAAACACTCAAGTATCAATACTGCTTATACCTTAATTATCTTGGCATCTTCTTTTGGTTTTTCAGTTAAAGTGAGGCTTTCCCTAAGATAAAAAATTGTACAGATTAGATTATTTTTATTTATATAAATAAGAAACTAGTCATAAAAGTATTGTACTTACATAGATTCTTCTTGACTAAACTGAGCAGAAAATAAGGTGTCTTGTGAAACATCCAGATTATTATACAAGGCAGGAATATCACACCTAGAAAAAAAAATCTTATATATAATTCCAAAAACTTAGTGATAGTTCCACCATCAAAAGCTTGCAGGGTGCCTTTAATCCCAGCTCTGGGGAGGCTGAGCCAGGCAGTTCTCTGTGAGTCTATTAAGCGAGTTCCAGGAAAGGCTACAAAGCTACACAGAGAAACCCTGTCTCGAGAAAAAAAAATTAAAGTTAGAATTCTATGAAAGTGTATTTCATGAATCATATAAAAGCTTATAGTGTTTTCTATGAAATTACCTTCTCCTCCAATAAACACAGACCCCAGTAAAAGAAAGCTTAGAAACACTGGGCATATTACTGGGTAGATTAAAATATTATTAAATGCTATCTTGTATAGTCCCATCATCTGTCATTAAAATTTAGGATACCCAGGCCAGCTGTAGCCCAGTGGTAGAGCACTTGCCTCCCATAACCAATGTCCCCAGTAAGATTTTCAAGGCCAGGCATGATGACACATTATCATAGTTCTCACAACAAAGCTACATAGAGCTCAAGATTAAAAGCCCACAAACCGTTTTGTCTTGAGTACTTCTTTCTGGTGCTCAGTCAGAATTCTTGCCTTTCCCTCTTTTCCTTGTGGAGGTATGAACACAAAGTCAGTAGATTTTTCCTCTTCCAAAAGCTTATTACCACTCTTTAATTTTGGAGACGAAGATCCTACTTTCAGCTGTAGGTTTTTAAAAAGTAAATGAGCTTCCAAATTATTTCTAATTCTCCTATGTTTTCTAACATTCTACTATTATTTTTCAATACTGATTAGGAAGTTTGAAACTGATACACACACACCCTTCTCAACTGAAGATAAATAAGGTCTATTTCATGTTGGACTGAACTTATGATTCTACCTCAACCTACTAACTGTTAAGATTACAAGCATATAAATAAAACAATGTAACATTCACAGTCAGAAATTAAATGGCCTTCACTTTCTCCTACCTCTAATATTAAGATAAATAGTAGTAAGCCTTTTAGGGGGTAAGTCTATGGAGTTAAGATACATACATGTTCTACCTAGGCCAACACAAAGTTCTAATCAAAGCATCTAAATTACTGCCATGCAGTAGACTGTGTTGATTGTTCATCCTTTCAGCTCTCAGGAAAGCTGCCCAGAATAACTATATGTAATACTGAGAATCTGCTATTACTAAGAAGAAATCACTCCAGGCTCTACACACTATCATAGCTGTCCTTCTCTTCACTATCATTCCACCACAAACCCCAAATTTGTTTGGACTTCCATAGCTCTTTCCTCCAAATAAGTGTTTTGTGTCCTTAAGCTAGCTAGCTAGCATTATGTAAAATCCCAGTAAATATACTTTTGAAAACATACTTTGGTCGACAGCTTCATATTTTCTTTTTTATCCTTTGTCTGTGTCAAAAATGAATCTCTTTTTCCACTTGATTTCCTTTCCATGCCACTTATCTTGACATTTAATTGTGAATTTTCTGTCTATTAAGATAAAATTGAACACATTAACTATATGTCTACTATTTGCTTCTTTATGATTATTCATTTTAAATGGTATAAAGATTCTGACTATTCAAATCTACTGAAAACAAAGGAAAGTAAAGATACTGTGAAAAGATACTTATCTCCCTCTACAGTCAGGTTTACAGCCTTTACTTGTTAATTCTGAAAACAAAACTTACAAAGTGTATCAAATTACTAGACTCAAATACATATCATTCCAGAATAAAGGTTAATAAATAAACCCCATGTAGAATGGAGAATATAAATGTATCCAACATTTTTCTCTTACGCCAGGATGTACAATTCTGATGTTAAATTAAGCTAAACAAATAGTAATAAGCTGTTTTCTCTGCTGAGAATCTTTTAGACAAAACAAACAAACAACAGTAACAACAAAACCCATAGTAAGCCACTGTATTTTTTCTTCTGACTCTAAACAAAAGTTCACACTTGTTCATGAATGGAAAGCTTCATGTGGGATGAGGAAAAGGTGGTATTATTGCATTCTTTCTTGTTCAAGTTCTGATTATTGCTGCTCACTTATACCAAACTACTCAGATTTAAGTTAAAAAACAACTTACTGCATCAGAATATGGCCCACTGGATTCATCCATCATTTCAACATTTTCCAAACCAGGCAACAGAAGCAAAATTTTTTGTTTGGCTTGTCTTAATATTGGTCTTTAAAAAAAAAAAAAAAAGTACATAGATAATGAGTAAATTATAATAGTAAATGTTAATATTACTGTAATTATGAGACAGGTTCTCATGAATCCTAGCCTGGCCTTGAACTTGTGATTTAGCTCTATGAACTTGAACTTCTGCGGCCATCACAACTAGTTTATGCTGTAATGGCAATAAAGCCCAGGGTTTCAGGTATGCTAAGTTAACATTCTACTAATTATGGCACTAGTCCTATTTATACTTGTTATGTAGCAAGTATACCTGATTTATGTTTCTTACTTACACGAATACAACACTGGGGAAAATAGAAAACATCAGGACTTTTTCTCTATACTTTTCACAGCATCCCCAAACTTCTTAACTTTTAAGCAAGGCATGATAGGCGGTGTGCCTGTAATTCCAGCACAGGGGAAGGTGAGACACATCACCAAGTGTTCAAGGTCAAACTATGCTATAAGTGTGAACTTGTCTCAAAATAAACAAACTCAAAACCTATTTTAAAAAAAAAAAAAAAACACTCATGGGGGTGGGGAGTGGAGTGATGGCTTAATGGCACACCCCTTTAATCCCAGCACTTGGGAGGCAGAGGCAGGTGGATCTCTGTGAGTTCGAGGCCAGCCTGGCCTACTGAATGAGTTCCAGGACACCCAGAGCCACA